GCATCAGGGACTAAGTCAGTAACACTTATCAGAACCACAGCTACCAAGAACTCTTATTACTTAAAAATGTCAGTGTCTTGCTTGAAAGAGTGTCATGGTATCAGACTTTTCCTCTGTGGCATTTGTAGAGACTGAAAGAAAAAAAAAATCAAGCCAGTAAAAAAGATGGTTGGTATCTGGGAAGTCAATAAAGATGTTTTACTGGCAAATCCGCGGGTTGACCGACTGGAACAGGGGGCGGGAATCGGCTGCAGTAGGAATTTCAGAGCAGTCCAGTGTGTGTAAATATCAGGGCTAATGCTGATTGAGAGCCTATGTGTGTCAGACACTAGGATAAGCCCTTTCCAATTACTGTCTCATTTAGTCCTACCTGTGAGAGAGCAGGATGATTGTCCTTATTTCACTGGAGGGAAAAAGGAGACAGGGAGTTTTAAGCGGCTTGCTGGAGGGCACACAGCTCAAAGGCAAAGGTGCTGACCCTGACGATCAAATTCAGGTAGTGAGACCATGGAGCCTGCCACGTTAGCTGCTGTCCAGGGACTGGTCCAGGGGAGGGCAAGACAGAAGCAGCTCTGAGAAGATTTCTCCAAAACTATGCCTGGGACGGTCACTAGAGTTTCACACAAACTTCCACTTTGCTGTCCATTATTAAGAGTCAACACAGGGTTGGGGTTGGGGTTCAGTGGTAGAGCACTTGCCTAGCATGTGTGAGGCACTGGGTTTGAATCTCAGCACCACATATAAATAAATAAAATAAAGGTCCGTCAACAACTAATAAAAATATTTTTTAAAAAAGTCAATATAACAGTTGGGGGGTGGTGGTGCACACCTGTAATCCCAGAGTCTCAGGGGATACTGAGGCAGGAGGAGCAGAAGTTCAAAGCTGGCCTCAGCAACTTAGAGAGGCCCTAAGTAACTCTGCGAGAACTGCCTCTATAATAAGATTTTTAAATAGAGTCAATATAACAGATATTAGTGTGTTCCAAGAAATTATGAGCCATCTTCTATGGTAAAAAGGTCAGAGAACCCAGTATATTCAAATGGTCAAAAGTGGGATGGATTAATCTGAGGTTCAATTTCAACTCCAGAATCACCAACCAGCATTCACAGAAATGCAGTCTTTTATTTAAGTCCATCAGAGATTTTCTGAAAAAAATATTTACTTCCCCATGGCTACCCACCAGGAAGTCAGGCGGAAGTACTAATGGGTTTTTTGTTAAACTCAGACTATTCTTCTTGGGATTTTCCAGGAAAAAGTGTAGGATGTGAGAGACAAGTTGAACTCAGCATGGTTCCTGATCTGGTGTGCTGGTCTGCTGTACAACCCTGCAAAAGTGATTTAATAAAACTGGCCTCAGACTCCATGCAAAACTTCAGTGATGACAATTCCCTGTCACAAGGGTGACACTCCATGAGAAAAAGAACCTACTCCACCAATATACAATGTCACAGGAACTTCTGAATAAAGGGAGTCTATTCTTTTGCCAAATGAAACTGTTGTCCACATCTCAAGCCCTCCCCCTTTCCCACCCATACACTTCCTTTGTCCTCTCCAAAAATGCAAATGACCACTTTGCATATCTGGGACTGGGGCTTCTCACAATGGCATAATCAATGATTGCAGATAAGGATGATTCACTGTGCTAACCAAAGAGGATTCACACCTGCTGTCCTGTGGTCACCGAATTTTTAACTAGTTTCCCATGGACAAATAGCTCCCTGTATGTCCCCTTAGCTACCCCTGTGTCCTCACAGGACACATGGGCCTTAATCATTTGCAGATCTCCACCCAGGCTACCAGCTACATAGTCACATGCACTTCTAGGGAAGTAAGCAAGTGGATAATGAGCAATATAATATCGCAATATAATATTCCCAGGTTGATAATTAGCATTTTGATTTACACCTAAACACCATTCAAAGTATATCTACAACTAGAAATGAGCAACAGTTACAAAGGAATCCTCCTTTTCCCTCCAAAAAATATCAGGCAGAAACTGCGTCCCTAAGATGCATGATCATTACTGGATTTTCAGTTACCACCTATAATAGAGGCTTTTAGTACATCAAAGCTATAATGTTTCCAATAAAATAATAATTTGGCTTTCTATTTACCCTTTGTTTTTAAGTATAATTTTAAACGCCCTTATGATTATCTGATAAATCTAAATTTTAAGAGTTCTCTATAAAGAGAGACATATAACTACGACAGAATTAATAATTCTAGTTAGAAGCTAGATCTAGTAAGTCATGATCTAGTTAAAAGCATCGTACTTCTGTCATTAAAAAATAACACTCCAAAAAAATCAGGCTAGGTATTGTTTTCAGAAAATGTACCATTTTGAAGATATGCAAAGAACCAACAAGAAAAAAAATAATTCCTTTTTTTGGGGTGGCAGGTATCAGGGACTGAACCCAGGGGTGCTTAACCACTGAGCCCCATCCCCAGCCCTTTTTCATATTTTATTTAGAGACAGGGTCTCACTGAGTTGCTTAGGGCCTTGCTAAATTACTGAGGCGGGTTTTGAACTCGTGATCCTCCTGCCTAACCTCCAGAGCCGGTGTGATTACAGGCATGTGTCACCACAACTCCTGGCTAGAAAAAAAGAATTCTTAGCATCAGTAATCATCAGAAATGCAAGTCAAAACCACAATATCGCCTCACTCTTGTTAGAATGGCAGCTATTAAAAAAAAAAGACTAAAACAAATACTAGCAAAGATGAAGAGAAAGGAGGATTCTTGTATATTGAATGTAAATTGGCCCATTATAAAAATAATTTTAAAAAAGCAGTATAGAGGTTCCCTTAAAAAACTAGAGATAGAACTACCATATAATTCAGCAATTCCACCATGGAATCTATATCGAAAGGAAAACAAATCACTATGTTGAAGATATATCTGCATTCTCACGTTTGTTGCTATTTACAATAGCCAGGATGTGGAATCCACCTGTATGTCCACGGACAGAGGAATAGATAAAGGAAATGAGGTGTATCTATACATCTACACAACTGAATATTATTCAGCCATAAAAAAGAATAAAATCCTGTCATTGGTGGCAATATGGATGAACAGAGAGGACATTAAGTAAAATAAGTCAGGCCCAGAAAGACAACTACTTCATGTTCCCACCTATCTGTGGATGCTAAAAATGATAATCTCAAGGAAATGGATAGAAAGGCTACATTACCTAGATGGTGAGAAGGGTGTTGAGGAGGGGCCCGTGGACGGGGTGGTTTATTTCCACAGGGCTGCAGTTGGATAACAGGAATAACTTCAATGTGTTCAATTCTATAAAGGGTATGTGTGGCTGACAGGAATTACTTCTAAATTTCAATATACTAGGAAAGAGGGTTTTTAATATTCCCAATGCAAAGTAATGATAAACTGAGGATTAATGGAGGTGACGGAAATGCCAGCTGCCCTGATCTGACCATTACACATTGTAGACACATTTCAAAATGTCACACTGTGCCCCATAAACAACCACAATTACTATGTGTAAATTAAAATTATTTTTAAAAAAAGAATCAACTTATAAAAGTATCCATTTATGAAGATCCAGTTAAATAAATCATAATCCAACCCAAATAAATAAATAAAAGAGAAGGAAAATGTAACTTTTCCCTGACAGTTGGCTCTGCCCTAGCACTTCCTCCCGCCGTAGACCCTCGTCCTATAGGGTTTGGCATGTGGAATGATAGCTGTCCACGTTAGGAAGTACAACAGTACAAAGACTGCAAATGAGACATGCCTCGGAAGGTTATCCAGAGGAAGCTAGTTAAATAAACTATGATGTGCCCTTACAAAGAAATCAGCCATTTAAAAAAGAAGATAACAAGAAGTGCCCTACTGCTGAATTGCAAACATCTACCAGGACACAGCGCTAAACCAAAAGAGCAAGGTTCTGAACAGCAGGTCTTGTCAACTGCCTTCTGCACAAAATGGGAGAAATAAGAACACACACAGAGTCAGGCACAGTGGTGCATGCCTGTAATCCCAGCAGCTCGGGAGGCTGAGGCAGGAGGAACATGGGTTCAAAGCCAGCCTCAGCAACTTAGCATGGTACATACAACTCAGGGAGACCCTGTCTCTAATTAAACACAAAAAAGGGCTGGGGATGGGGCTCAGTGATTAAGAGCCCCTGGTTTCAATCCTTGGAACTCCCTCCCAAAACACAAACACACACAAGTGTATATACACACATGCAGATACATGTTTCAATTAATAGTAAGAAGCTTCAGAAACTACTGTTATTAGTAACACTGTTGGTAACACTGAGTTGGAGATTAGACAGTTGAAAGATAGGCCTTTGAAGGAGATTCCTTACTAAATATTTTTAAAATACTTTGCTTTTTGAACTATGTGAATGTATATTCTATTTTAAAACACTAAAACCACTTGGGCACGGTGGCAGATGCCTATAATCCTAGCAGATTGGGAGACTGGGGCAGGAGGATCAGGAGTTCAAAGCCAGCCTCAGCAACTTAGTGAGACTTAGCAACTCAGTGAGACCCTGTCTCCAAATAAAATACAGAACAGAGCTGGGATGTGGCTCAGTGGTTGAGCAACCCTGGGTTCAATCTCTGGTACCCCCCCAAAAAAAATCAAAACTAATTCATGGTAAACATGGTATTTCATTCCTTCAAGACTAAAACACCATCTATCAGGTTACATATTGTGAATCTCTATGTTTCTTCCTCCTGTTCTTTAGAATACCATGCCATGCCCTTATTAAAACACAGAACACACACGCTTAATCGACTAACTAAAAGAGAAAACTTAGAGAAAAGCACACTATTTGTAAAGTACTTTACAAACCTTTATTCCATAAATGAAACTATATTAATGATATTAGGGTGAATCGAAATCACTTATTATTTGTTTACAACTCCTCTGTCTATAAAACAATTTTTGCCTGGATGACTTGGGACAAATCCCCTGGCACCTCAGGGTACCCAGGAGAGACAGGTTCTCCTGCAACCACAGAGCGTCTCACCTTCATAGGTGCCAACTTCCAGAAGAGTCCCGCTCTGCTCGAGATCCAAGAACTCCTTCACAGTCAGGAAGCTGTAATCCACGCCAGGCACTTCTCCTTCCCGGGGAGATCGGGTGGTGCCTGCAGACAGAAAAGATATCAGTCAACCAGAACAGGAAGTTCCACATCCAGGTGAAATCGAGCCAACCTGTTCAGGCAGCCCGAGAGCCTAGAACTTGGCTGACTTCTCTGTCCAGACATCGACCAGGTCAAGGCTTCAAAAAGAGCATCCTCACTTTACCATTTTGTAGGATACACTGAATGGAGGAGGTGATCTGTGTGGGTTGCACAGACAGCAGCCACCATCGGCAGCTCTTAGGACTCCAGCAAATACTAAAAATTATCCACTCTTAAGCTTGGCGCCTCGGGGGTTTATATTTTTATCACGCGCCTCAAAACCCCCGTGCTCCTCAATACATCCGGCAAGTTCCAGTGTAATAAGCCCTTTGAAGAAAATGACACCCACTGCATAAACACATCACCAGAGAAATGCGATTGCACAAGATCTGCGGTTGGACAACTCCCAGGGATTAAAATGCTGCTGTTCCTCATGTAATTAATACGTTGGGTGAAAAGAGGCCACCCATGAGTCTGGCTACAGAAAGGGGACTTTTGCATGTGGGAGAACAATTCTCTCCCTGAATTATTCTGGCCACACTCTCAACAGCTAAGAAAAAAAAAAGCAACCATTTAGGAAATGATAGAGAACCCTGGAAGTACTTGAGTCACCTAGTACAAGGGCTGGGCTGTGGATCCAGCCTTGACCCAAAGTGTGGGGGGCAAGGAGCAGAGGGGGTTGACACATCCCCCAAGGAGAACAAAAATAAACGAAGAAGCATGCATGCAGCGTCTACTAGGAGTCGGCGTCAAATACTGTCAAACAGAAAAAAAAAGTGACTTCTTCTCCTACCTCTTAAATTAGGAGAAAATCAGCGCAACTCACTTTTGCAAGACATCATCATCCATGGTGGGGATTATAGGTTTTTCCTATGAAAATAAGTAGGGATTTCCCCTTATTCCTAGGATTCTCTCTCTTTCCCTTTAAAGTGTTTAAATAACTAACTATATGTATCCCAGGGCTCTAATGTTCCTGGGACCATCCATCTTTGACCTCCTGCCTACCTAATGACCACGTCCACACATCTACCTTGTATATCCCTAATTCCCAGAAGTAAAAAAACCTCAAGAATTATCACACCAGGTGCAGGGGTGCACCCCTGTGAAAATCCTGTGGCTCAGGAGGTTGAGGAAGGAGGATCATGAGTTCAAAGCCAGCCTCAGCAACTTAGCGAGGCCCTAAGCGACTCAGCAAGACTCTGCTTCTAAAAATATATATATATATATATATATTAAAATGGGCTGGGGATGAGGCTCAGTGGGTAAGCACCCCTGGGTTCAATCCCTGGTACTCCACCCCACCAATGCACCCAATTTGAAAACATCTGAAATCGGAGTGTCTTAAATAGCTGTGAGTTATTCAGAGAATGGTCCTATTTCCAATGGTGGCTTCTCACATTAAGCACATGGGGGCTTTCTGGTAGGAGGCTTTCTTGGGAAGTGTCCAGAAGTCTACTCTGATACTCCGTCCTAACTTATTTCCATCCTTGGCACCCTGGTGGATGAGAGGTCATTCATGGCTTTTAAAATTCCATCTCAGGTGTCAGATGCACAGCAGGTACTGGGTACATAAAGAGGGTATCCTAGACTTCAACAGACCTGGGGGTCTGGGTGGGAAGGGCAGGTTCAAGGTCTGGCTCCCCAGGTGACGGTTTTGGACAAGATCCTGAGCTTCTGTTCCTCCCGGCATCCTCTGCTGAGAAACGGGGCTAACAATAATGGCACCACAGGTACTAAGTGAAATAATCCTTTGAGAGAGCTGAGTTCAATCATTGTTAGTAGAGAGTTTTACTTTATGTTACTGTTGGAATGAAGGGAGTTCATCGACTCTTAAGCTTAAAAATCCCACTGTCACAACCTGATGTTGTCCACGTGTCTGTATGTAGATGTGTGGATAGCCATCATCACGTTTCAATCATTTAATAAATATTTGCTGAGGACCCCCCCCCCTATGAATGCCAAGCACTAATTGAGGCACTGGGTAAACAATGGTCAACAAGACGAAGTCCCTACCTTACTGAAACTTATATCTGAATTTGAGAGAAAAATAAATAGGTATGGGAAGACAGACAGACAGCACACAATTTCAGGAGGCACTAATGCTTTTGTGGCACTAATGCTTCTGCATGGTCAGAAGGGACCTCAGAGCCACGTGGGCATTTGGGCTGGAGTGCCCTGTGGGGGTGGGGAAGTGAGGGTCCAGGAAGCAAGTTGAGATAGGTGAGCAGGAAAGGCCTGTCTCCTGCAAGGAAAGCCCCCCAGGCTGAGGGTCTGCGAAAGGCTTTGATGTGGAAACAGCTGAGTCACGCTGGGGAAAGACACAGGGACAGGTACATCTGCCAGTGAGACTCCACGTCATGGACAACCCCAAGAATGGGATCCTGATTAGAATAAGTCATACTCTATGTATGCACAACACGTCAGAATACACTCTACTGACGGGCACGGTCGCGAAGGCCTGTCATCCCAGCAGCTCAGAGGCTGAGGCAGGAGGATTGTGAGTTCAAAGCCAGCCTCTGTCACTTAGTGAGGCCCTAAGCAACTCAGTGAGACCCTGTCTCTAAATAAAATACAAAATAGGGTTGGGGATGGGGCTCAGTGCTTAAAGTTCCACTGAGTTCAATCCTTAGTAAAAACAAACAAACAAACAAAAATCCAAAAAACTTCTTCTGTCATGTATATCTCAAAAGAACAACAACAACAACAAAAAAAACTGGTGCACTCGTAGCAGTGAGATGGAAGAGGCTGGAAGTGAAAGCCAGATGAATCAGGCCACAGCAAAGAATTCATATCTCACTCTAAGGGTGACAGCAAGTCACCAGAGGGTTTTGAGCAAGGTGATGCCTTAATTCAATACCTATTTTTTTAAAAAGATCTTTGACTTTGCATAGAGCATGCAGGGTAGGAGGTGAGTAAGAAGAGAAGCAGGGAGACCAGTTTGGTGGCTGTCCCAGTGACCCAGAGAAGACAATCAGGTGTGGACTAATGCAGGTGCTGAGACACAATCAGATATCTACAACAGAATGCATTTTATTTATTTGTTCATTTATTTATTGTTTCCAGGGATGAACCCAGGGGTGCTTAACCACTGAGCCCCAGCCCCAGCCCTATTTTGTATTTTATTTAGAGACAGGGTCTCACTGAGTTGCTTAGGGCCTCACTAAGTTGCTGAGGTTGGCTTTGAACTCCCGATCCTCCTGCCTCAGCCTCCGGGGCCACAGGGATCACTGGTGTGTGCCAGCAAGCCAGGACAGACCTAACTTTTTGAAGCTAGGAACAGGAAGAGGATCCCCAAAGGAGATAGCAGCAGCAGCAGCAGCAGTAGGGTGTCAGGTCCTGCAGCCAAGTGCAAAAGCTGTTCAGCCGGCTCCTTGTAAAACACCAGCAGTCTACATCCTACTTGGAAATTCCAGAGCAGCATAAGCAGAGAAATTCTGTGACATGCTGTGGCGGGATCTGTCTTAAATCTGTTCCGAGATGGCCACTCTCCCAAACAGCCTCCGTGTCAAAATTCCAATCATTTATTCCACCCACTCCAAGAAGATGGGGAGAAAATGAAACCCAACCAATTGTTGGGTTGGGTCCATCTTCCTAGACCAGACCAGTGTTTTCCTGCCTGCTCTGTAGCCATCTTATCTCTGGCCATTTGTCTTCAACCAGTTTTCACACCCAATTGGTCAGATGTCCTTTAAAGACAATAGTCACCCCTGGGTCTCTGTTTCCTGAAAGGATCTGAAATAACCAAGAACTTCAAAAATGCTACATCTTAAAAGGGACACCCCTTTCCCCTGTAAATAAATATGCTTCTGATGGCCTCCGAGAGGCAGAGGAGGGAGGAGGCTGGGGGTGAACCTCCACAAACCCTGCAGGGCTTATTACCCACACAAAACCTGTGCAAGTTGTGTGCTGGCAGGAGGTCTCCTCCAGGGTACTCTGAGCTGCAGGCTGGGCCTGGGCCAGCCTTACCAGCTCCATTCAGCCCTGCTGGGTGGGAAAGGACCAGGCAGGCCCCGCCTCCTCCTTTCTTGTAGCAGAATGACAGGCGGCCTGCTGGACACACGCCTGACAGATGGTATTTCAAAGGGTTTTCAGGAGCCATCTGGGGTGGGTACAATTATTACAAACCTCACTTCTAACAAAGCCAGAAGGGGTTACTTCCTGACAGAAGAAAAGTAAAAACAAATTCTATCATGTTTCCCAGGGATGACACATTAAAAAAAAAAAAAAAAAAAGGACCAGGCTGACAAACCAGGGTTTTTCTGTAGCCTACAATACTGCCTTCTGCTCCCGTCTAGCTGGAAATGGGGCCAGCAATATCAGGGGCTTTGGCCTCACAGGGTTCCTCCTCTTAAGCAAGAAAAGAGAAAGGGAGTATGTTTGTTTACTTAGGTCCCAGGCGAGCCCTTAATCAATACTATTGCACTAAATCTTCCCCAGAAAACAGAGGGGAGGATGAATATTATATTCATCTTATTCATGCAGAGGCTGAGGCTTGGAGAGGGAAAGGAACCTGCCCCGGGTCACGTGACCAGTTGGGCAGAGTCCTGGTCTGGGTGCAGACAGCATGATGTCATCCTCATTCTAGACCCTTCTGGTCAATAGAGTGAGCGCTGGGCCACTAGGGAAGTGGCCCATGGCTGTGCTAACATGGTAGCCTGTGCTCCTATGTGGTTGCTGCAAAGTGGCTACCGAGACGAGGAACTGATTTTAAAACTTTATTTAATGTTATTTACCTTGAATTTAAATTGCTACATGTAGCTAATGGCAACCAGATTGGACAGTTTCACTCTAAAGCAGGATAATATTTAGGTTGCCTATTTTACACTGTGTTCAGTACAATGCCCCAAAGCACTCCTAGTGCTCCAAATAACAAGAAACAGACACTGTAAGGCATCTTGAACTGCTATAAGGAAACCTCCCTTTTAAAACCTCTTCCATGCTTTGAAAAATGATCTAGCCAAACC